CCCTGTTGTACATCACATACAACAGCTCTATCCCCATCTCGAACACTCCACACACCCATCTGTTTCTCTACGCGGATGACACTGCACTCCTAGCGACAGGGAGTGATTACCTTCCTTTGGCCACCTTTAGAAGAGCACAAGCTCAACTAAACGGCATCGAAGAATGGTGCAATAAGTGGAGAGTCACGTTAAATGCAGGGAAAACCCAAACCATTGTGTTTCGGGCCCCTCACACCTCACCACGACTCATCAACAATCGTGAGGACCAAACTCCCCTATACCTGATGGGAGAAAGGCTCGTAACTAGTCCCACAGCTACCTACTTGGGCGTTTTATTCACTAAAACACTCAATTGGGCACCTGATCTAAAGGCAACTTTAGATAGGGTCAGAAACAGAGCCCGTCTCCTAGTCCCGCTATCGGGAACGTTTGGCAAAACAAACAACGTGACTCTCACTCACACTTATAAAACCTTTATTCGGCCCGTTATTGAGTATAAGGCGCACTTATATTGCCTTCTCAAAGATCGTCAGAGGGGTGCACTCCTTGCTGCTGAGCGTAAAATTCTGCGTAGGACATGCAGAAAGCGGTGGTCCTTTCCCTCACGTGAAATCCATAGACTGGCAAATACCATCCCCATTCTCGAGAGAATAAAAACTCTCAACAGGAACTTCACTCTCAAAAACATCAATGGCCCCCCATCTAACACCCAAGATACCCTCAAAAGTTCCTGCATTTTCAGAGGTCATGTAGTAACTCGTATTCCCAAACAAAAACTCCCTCACCCCCCCTCAATCTTGATGCAAACCTGCATTAATGATCTTCCGGAAGACTACTACAATATTCTCGAGGCCACTCCACTTGCCTATCGCCGACCCTAAAACCTTTACCACACACATATCCTATCCTTACCCCGGACAGGGGGAGATTGGTTTTTTGCGGTTTCCCAATCTCACTACTCAATGATACCTGTCCGTCCCTGAGAAAATAGCCGCAACTATTTTCTCTCACACACACATACATACACAACACACTGACATTCACACAACATTACTCACACACCCCAACAGTGGAAGGGGTCCTCTTTCAAGCTACCGATACACCCTCATCACTGGGACCCCCGACCGCCCGCAGCCTCCGTTACTTTACACGGGGTCTGCGGTCGGCCGGGGTTATCTAGGTGATTCGAGGAGTCAGTAACAACGAAATGGTAGCGTCCGCCACTGTTGGAACACACATACATCCACTTAGAGCGAAGTGCGACAAGCCGACTCTCGAAAGCCGAGGCGCCTCCATTCACGAGCACACTCGTCCACAAAATTTCAGTGCAATACACTGGTTTTGGGGCCGGGTTAAGCTCGAGACTGCACAGGACCAATGGTCACTAGAGACCCGACCTTGTCGTACCTAGCTCTAAAACAACAAAACAAGACAAGAAAAGAACCACACTTACACTGACAAACCCTTCACTCTGGTTCTCTTGACTCTGTCTGTCTAACTCCTCCAGGCGAAGAAGGTGCCACAACAACAAAACAACAAAACGGAGAAGATCTTTGCGCCGGGGATTTTTGGGTGCTTGCCTTTGTGCGTGCTATACTACACTAACATCCAACTCAAGCCTGAAGAGGGTCAAACGACCCTAAACGGGTACAATGTAAAATTCTATCCCCACGAAATAAAGTTCCTATACCTATCCCACAAGAATTAACATTGAATCATCATCATCATAGAGGCAGAATCGTCAGGTGTTGACTGAAGGTTCTCTTCTCCCCTACCCCGGCTTGTGGACGTGTTGAGTTCACAAGTTGTTTCCGTTCCATACCGCCAGCCGGAGAGCGTGTTGGGCTCTCCATTACCCGTACTCCGAAGCAGTCGTGTTGAGACTGTCGAGGAGTGTCCTATTAACCCGAATCACTTGAGGGACGTGTTGAGTTTCTTTCTTTCCTTTGTACCTATCGTCCGCTGTTATTAAATCGACACATCGTTCACGTAAAATTCCGAAAACACACTTGATTGCCGATAACACTAATTTCATACGACAAGGTCAAACTTAATTTGAATAAATAGGCCAGGTACTGAGAAGACTAAACTAAATTGTAAATATGTACATAAGATTTTTGTCAATTTAATTTAAGGAAGACAATAAAGTTTTATTTTTATTTTGAACTCTGTCTCTGACTGTCCAAAAGCTACCCGGATAGTGACTCCTACGAGAGGACGTCACAAGGTCATGAACAAACTTGGCATACTAATAAGTAAACATTTGCTGATATAGCAAGGACTACTATAAAAGCCCCAACAATCATTCTCTCAGCGATCTTAATTAATATACCGACACTATGGCCAGTAAGGCATCATCTATCGTCATCGTCAATTAAGTACTGATATATTTAAGATTAATTAATAGTGAAAGATTGTACAAGCAGTGATTAATAAATGGGTAACTAAGTTAACAACACATTATTTACTACCCCACGACATTATTTAATACAAGCCCTAAATCCCCCAAACTTTTAAGTACGTTTAAATTAAATGAATTTTGTGGCACCATTAGTTTAACAAATTATTTTTAAAACTTTTTTGCCTTTATCACTTTTTCGGAAAACTAGCTTTTTTCTAGTTCGCCATAAAATTACAATAAGTTCCATCAATAATAGTCAATAATTTGAAGCTATCATTTATTGTGTGAATAAAAATAATATTAAAAATTTTGATATTACAATGGCCTACACATTTCAGAAAATGGCAGATATGCATTTAACTTTCGGTAAGTTGGATCAGATTAAATTATGATTTCAGACCATTGATCGTCGTTTACGAGAAACGGGTATATTCCAATCGCAAGTTGCTGGCAATAGTGGTCATCCAATACTAGATTCAACTGATGAAGACATTTTAGAAATTATTGAACAAGTCCCTGGAACAAGTACAAGGGTAATAGCTGCTCAACTAAATGTTCCTCACGTCAGGTTTTGGAGGAGTTGAAGGATCAGCTGCTTAAATCTTATCACTTAACAACGGTTCAAAAGATATTGGTTGAAGATTATCCTAAAAGGATTGGATTTTGTCATTGACTGTTAATGGAAAACACTTGAAATGTTAATTTTATTAGAAATATTTTATTTACCAACGAGGCTACATCACAGAATAATAAACAATCAGAATGCCCACTCTCCATGGAAAATTAAGTACGCGCATCTCCTTCGCGCAGACGTTCCGCCATGTTTTAGAGGGAACAAATGTTGTTTATGTGGTGTGCATAGAAAAATTAACCCGGTTTAATTGACTTACGGCAATCATAGACATACTATACAATTATATTAACATTGTTAAATATAATAACATAAATAATAATAGAATTAAACATAAATATAAACAATTACATAACCTCACAAATCATATGTCTGTGTTATGTGTTTCCTTCTAAAATATGGCGCGCGTGCTAAAAAACTTCAAAGGCTGCATCTGAGAGTGGGCATTCTGATTGTTTATTATTCTGTGGCTACATTCAGTAGAAATGGAATAACAAAACCATTATATCGAGCACATTTGGGCCGACGAAAATCCTTTCGCCAAAAAAACGACTCGAAATCTTCGATGTCATCTATTTGTTTTCGTTGTATCTTCTTTGATACATTTTTCTTATCGAGTCGTTCCACAGTGAGTCAACATTGAATTTTTCCTCGGTGATTTCCTGTGGAAAATGTTTTGGTGTTATCTTCATTCTTATTTTTGCTAGTACTAGTTTAGTTTGTGTTCACTCCCTGCGTCTGCTGAGTTTAAAATTCAGATTCAGATTCAGTTCATAGATTTGTGCCCACTGGTGTTTTTAAATGTATATTTATACTGAAGCTTATGGTAGAAAAATGTATTATTGATTCTCAGTTCGGCAAAAGCACAGAAATTAGCCATGAGTTCTCCATTTGCGTTGCCATGGTTTTCATTAAATTTTTGTTTTACTTCTGGAATTATTTCACTTTAGATTCGTGCATTAAAGTCACCTATAAGAATTAAGGGTACTTCATGAGGTATTTCATCCAGGATGGTTTGCAATTGTTCATAGAATGCCTCTCGTTCCTCTTTAGGTTTGCAGTCCTCTGGGCTAAAGAAAGATAATATGACATTTAATTTTTGGTAGTTCATTGTGATGTTCATATGTATTATTCTTTCACACAAGTGTACGTGTACACCTGCTCGTGCTCGTTCTTCCTTCTTTACTCCACTGTATGCTAGAAAATATTGGTTATAGTCTCTTTGACCTTAACCTTTCTTCTTGGTTTCTTGAATTGCACAAATGCCTATGTTTTTATTTATAAGTTTTCCTATTATTTCTTGGTCTTTGTTGTTGAAAAAAGTAATGTTTCATGTTGCTAATCTAATTGTAGGCTTATTTTTCCTTCTTGTTTTCCTTTTCTGTGCGTGGTTCGTCATCTTAGGTTCCGTCTGTTTCCGAGGCTTTGTATCGGTTATTTTAGCCTTGTGTTCTTTTACAATGTGTAGAATGCTACCCTATCAACCCTCCTCTTTCATCCGGGCTTGGGACCGGCTGTGGGCATAAACGCGGCTTCTGAGCTTCTTAATCCACGCAGTCCTCGTGCTCATAACCCCCAGGCAGAGTTTTATTAAAACCCATTCACAAAATTCTACACGTCTTAAATATTCTACAGGATGTAAAAGTTGAGCTACCATATATACGAATAAAGGATCTAATGATGTTTTTTAAAATTCTGTGAATAATTTGTTCGAGTCGATACCTGTAACAATTGCTCACATTTCTGTAATTACGAATTTGGAGCAAAATGTCGCAGGATATCTATTTATAAGTCTTTATTGTCGACATGGATCCTTTAACTTATAAATTGATTAAACTGGAAACAGTTGTTCAACAAACGTTTTACAGTTTTATGATTTGTGAGAATTGTGAGAATGATAGTTATGCACTATATACTAGAAACAGAAGTTTTAGCAATTAAAGAAATGTTTAATCTGTTTTACTGTTTGTAATAATGAATATTTTTAACAGTTCTTTTTTAATATCAAACACATCTATCAAACAAGACATTTTAAAAATAAATTAACGTTATTACAAACTAATGTAATTTATTTTTTCCAGTCATCTTTGTCGTAGTCCCATTTGGAAGATATACCGAAGATTGGTTGGTTCCTCATATCCAGCCATCGTCTGAATTGAGCCCGTCTATGCTCCTCATCAAAAGTTATAGGAACAGGGCTATAGACAAATATCTTATAAAAGTAGTATATCCAAAAGGACAATGCTATGAAAATCAGACCGGAGCCAATAACTGTCTTCCATTCGCCAGTTGGGGCCTAAAAATATTTTAAAAAAGGAAGCTTTAGTGTAAATAGTATATTTAGTACCGAACTGAACCTTAGAATTTTCTACAACAATCAAAAAGTAGGTCTGTGGTCGATATTTCGACCACTGCACTTAATAATACTTATGAGCTAGTAATTGACATGAAAATTTACCGAAGGCGAAGTGCAAATTTAGTGTTTGTAAATAAACTGTATCCAAAATGAACATCACAAGATAAAATTAGGCAACGTGAAAGCAAAGTGGTCGATTCGCCAACCACAACCCATCATACACTTTAAGTTACCGTTGACCGTGATCACAGGTTTTTGCCGTTTGTAAAAGTTTTTAAAAGAAAAATAATTTACTAATAATTCATACATGAAACTGAAGGTAACACATCAAAGTATTATAATATTTTATTATAATACTTTGATGTGTTACCTTCAGTTTCATGTATGAATTATTGGTAAATTATGTAATATTTTCCTTGTATTATAAGGCGAAGTAGATGGTATTTAGGTCCTCTAATTATATGGCCGAAGTATTCTTATTTTCTCCTCTTTATGATGTTTATGAGCAGACGTTCTGAATTGATCATTTGAAGAACATCTTCATTGGAAGTGTGCGAAACGCACGATATCTTTAAGATTCGTCCACCACAATTCGAATGCTTCTAACTTGTTTAGCATTGTGGTTTTTAACGTCCATGTCAAACAACCATACAATAGGATGGAACAAACATAACATTTCAGGACCTTCTTACGAATATTCATCGACAGGTTTCTGTTGCATAAAACTGGTTTCCAGGTCATAAAAGCCTTACGTGATATTTCAATCCTGGTTATTATCTCTTCATCAGAGTCACAATTTACATTTAACCAGCTACCAAGGTATCTGAAATGATTTACCCTTTCGATCTCTTCTTCATTAAGAGAAATCAGACCTTGATCTATATTGATCTTTTCAAATGCCATCCACTTTGTCTTTGAAATGTTGATTTTAAGGCCTCTCCGATAACTTGCTTCACTGACTAGATTTAGTAATGTAGTAATTTATAATTGCTCTATTGAAATGTATTTTTGCTCTTGTTTATATTAAATCTGTACAATTATTTTTTTTACGTCAATCTGACTAACTTGATTATTATTTCTGAGAATTAAATTTTTGTGCGGTAGTTCAAATCATTAAATTTTTAAAAGTATTTGTGTACAATAATCATATGTATCTTTTGCAGTAAAATGGAACACCGCAACATACTGGAAAATTTACAAAATATCACTCAAGATTATTTATTTAATTACTTAGATGGTATTTCATCTCAACAATCCATATATTTAGATTTTGAGGGTGATTCTGATGCAGAAGACGTATCTTCCAATTTCCAACCGAACGTCAGTTGCATCCAACGCGACTGTTACTTCATTATCTAATGATGACAAGGTTGACTTTCTTGATATTGATGCAGATGACTTCATGGATGATACAACTTTCCACCTTCAGGTAAGAACGAATTGAATTTTTGACGAAGTCGATACTTCCTCAGGAGAAGACGAAGTATAAGAGAACCAAGAAAACCCACAGATAAGTGCGATGAAACATATTGGAAAAAGAAGGCTTCTGATGCACAAACATATTCGAATGGGCCGTTTACCAGACTATTTAGCTCAGCAAAACCGGTCAATATAAATTCACAATTCGACGTGTTTTCTTTCTTCTTGCACAAAGATATTATGGCTAATATAATTACAGAGTCAAAGCTTTATGGTCAACAAAATCATAATAATCTCGACCTAATTTTTGAAGTCTGTGTTTTTATTCATTTAAATCTTGATAAATTTAAAACTAATAGTTAAATTCACAATAAAAATACAAGGCAGAATCAAAAATTGCATGTGCTTTTTTCTAAAGGAACTATGCATTTTTACTCACCTGCAATAATAGGTCAAAGAATATATAATAAGTTACCCGAGCCAATAAAAAAATGTAAGAATATGAAAATATTTAAATTTACTTTAAAAGATTTTTTATTGCAGAATACGTTTTATTCTGTTGATGAATATTTTAATAGTTGACATTATTTTAAGTATATGCTAGAAATTTTACATTTTCTATTTGTGTTTGTCTTGTAACCTTAGGTTTAGCGTAATTTTAGATTTACATTTATATTTAGTAATTTTGTTTTCTAAACTGTGACTGATCCTATACAAATTGTATTTGTCAAAAAGGAAATAAAGTATTATTATTATTATTATAACTGAGGAAGAAATAAAAACATGTTAGGGATTCTTATAATCATGGGATTTTATAAACTACCTAGTTTAAGACATTATTGGTCAAGAGATATCAACATGCACGTGCCATGTGGTTCGCAAATTTTTACGCAAAAACGATTGTTTGAAAATTCTTCGTTTTATCCATTTGAACAATAACGAAAATATGGAAAGAAATCAAAATAGCTCTAATTTTAACAAACTGTTCAAAGTAAGGCCTTTGATAACACAATTGCAGCAACACTTTCAAGAAAACTTTAAAACAAGTAGAAATGTTACGGTAGATGAAAGTATACTTCGAAAATTTATCATATATGAAGGCAGATCGTAATCACAACATGCTAAATATGGTTTAGGGTATATAAAACGTTATTAGACACTTCCGAGTCTCTTATAGGCTGAAAATAATGCATTAATTTCGATAAGTTTTTCTCAAGTTTTCCTCTTTTAAAAAAATGTTAAGCTATGATTTGTTCTGGTGTGAAACTTTTAGAATAAATCGTAAAGGCTTTCCAACACAAATCTTCCTCCTCCTAAGTGCCTTCTATGTTGAGGTTGGCGATCAATATGGCAAATTTCTCTCTGTTCTGGGCTTAATGAATTAATTCATTTCCTCTTGTGTGGGTCCAATCTGTAATGTTTCGTAGCCAAGATTTTTTCTTTCGTCCTATGCCCCTTTTACCTTCAATGTTGCCTTCTAATATTACCTCGAGCTGGTCAAATTCACTATGGCGCATTATATGTCCTAGATATGACATATTTCTAATTTTGATAGTATTGACCAGATGAGGGCGTGTGTTCATTACTCTCAGTACTTCTTCATTCGTACTTCTGATAGTCCAGCTTATTCTTAACATTCGGCAGTACATCCACATTTCAAATGAGTTTAATTTGTTGACGTCATACTGTTTTAATGTCCATGAAACTAGATTTTGCTATTTCAATGCGTCTTCTAATTTCTTTTCAGTGGTCTAGTTGACTATTTAGCTCTCTTCTTCTTTGGGTGCCGTCTTCAATGAAGGTTGGCGATAACCTCAGCAAAATCATTTCTGTCCCTGGCTTTTCTTATTAAAGATTGAGAATCCAAACCAGTCCACTCACGAATATTCTTCAACCAGGACGCCTGCCGTCTACCAGGACCACGTTTTCCTTCTACCTTCCCCTCTATAAGAAGCTGCAGTAGCTGGTATTTCTCATTTCTGTATATGTGTCCCAAATATGAGGTTTTCCGTGTTTTCATTATTTTAAGAGTTCTCTGTCGGTACCCATCTTATGTAGGACCTGCTCGTTGCTCATATGCGCTGTCCAGGGGACTTTCAGCATCCTTCGAAATAACCACATTTCAAAACTTTCCAAACGCCTGAGTGAGTTGATTTTGAAGGTCCAGGCCTTCATTCCATATAGTAAGGTGCTGTAAACGTAACATTTCAGCATTCGGTATCGGATTTTGAGATTGAGTGTTTGGGACGTAAACATTTGTTTCATTTTTAAAAAGACATTTCTTGCTTGTTCAATTCGAGATTTTATTTCTATGTCTGGATCTATATCTTTCGTTATCCAGCACCCTAGATATCGAAATTTCTCGACATTTTCGATAATGTTACCATTCACGTTTAAAGCCATGGGTGGATGGATGGATGTTTTGGAGACAATCATTGTTTTTTTTTCTTGACGTTAATGCTGAGGCCATATTGTTCTCCGATCGATCTGACGCGATCTAAGAGTGTCTGGAGATCCTGTGCGCTCTCTGCAATTAGGACCGTGTCGTCGGCGTATCGTACATTATTTAGAACTCTTCCGTTAATTTTAACACCTTCTCTTGATTGGTCTAGTGCTCGTGCAAAGATTTCTTCCGAATATATATTGAAAAGTAGTGGTGACAATACACACCCCTGTCGTACACCTCGCTTGATATTGAATATTTCTGTGTCACCGGCTTCTGTCCTAACTGCTGCAGTTTAGTTAAAGTAGAGCGTGTGGATAATTTTAAAATCGTTCTCGTCTAGTCCCTTTTTGTGAAGGCAATCCATCAGCTTATCATGTTTTACTTTGTCGAAGGCCTTTTGATAGTCAATAAAACATAAAAAGAGATCCTTTTTTTGGTCTCGACATTTTTGCAGCAGTATAATAAAACTGGTTAATGCTTCCCGTGTCCCAAATCCATTTCGGAAGCAAAATTGTTCATCACTGATATCCTGTTCACATTTCTTATAAATGCGTTGGTGAATAACTTTCAAAAATAACTTTAACATATGCGACATTAAACTAATAAATCACCACACTTCTTTGCTCCCTTAGTTTTTGGAAGGGGAATAAAGACTGATTTTAACCAGTCTTGTGGAATTTCACCGCTTGTATATATTTGATTAAATAATTTGACGATTATATTTAAATGTTTCTCTTCCAGTAGCTTTATGATTTCCGTATGTATGTCATCGGGGCAAGGGGCTTTCCCATTTTTTGCGTTTTTGATTGCTCTCTCTACTTCTTGTTTTAATATAGGAGGACTGGTTTCATGGTTTTTATATATTATGTTGTTTAGTGGGGTGTCCGAGAATAGTTCTTCTATGTAATGTCCCCATACGTTGTTTAGATCGCTTAATTCCCATATCGTTTCATTCTCGTCGTTTGTTAATCTACAAGGGAGTCTTTGTTTTGTCATTCCAGCTAGATCTTTTATTTTTTTTGTAAAGCGTTTTGACTGCTCTCTTTTAGCTCTCTGCCCAGGTATATGAAGCTTTGGGAACTCTGAAGGGTGATACCATTTATATGTATGTTAGGTGTAACTTGATCATGGAGGTTTTTGTGGAATATTTATTTTTTATTATATTTTTTTTTTCAAATGTAAGGTTTGGCAGTCTTATATGAGGTACATCAAAAAATATATTTATCTTTAAAAGATTTTTAATAGTCTATTATTGTCTAAGATTATTAACATAGTGAAATATTTAATTTTTGCTATACAAAGTTGATCGAAACTTGGAATAAGGATTTTCTGAGATTAAATTGGAAATGAATATTTGAAATTAAACAAAAATGTATTTAATTTAAAGGGCTTAATAGAAAAATTAATAAGAATAGGAAACAAATACAATATTATAACAACATTCAAAACAACTAACACATTGAGATAAATCGTGTCCAAATATTAAACCAAACAACATACAGTAGTGATCAAAGAACTGCATTTATAAAATAGCTTGTGAACGCAAAATTTGTATGTGGGACAAACCTCAAGATCACCAAGTATTAGGATAAATTAGCATACAAAGAGACTTTGACAGATGCCAGATATTCAAACATGCCGCCAGGGACAATGAGTACAGAATACAACGGAAATATGCATCAATAGTCATGAAAGAAATAGACAGGAAGATGCATCAAAGATGCAACCCTTATCGTACTTAACAAAAAAAATGTGTAGCATCTGGTATAGCTCTGATTATTAATACCAACAAAAGAAGTTATCAATAAAAATACGTCAACTTTATGGGTTAATAGAAGAGACAATGCTACAATTAACTACATAAACACAATTTTAACTCTAAAAGATAGCTTATTGTCTACAAGATTGACACCAAGTAAGTCACCTGTCAAAGTGATTATTACAAAGCGCCAATTTGACGCCCCCTTTAAAAAAATGCTTTTAATTACATATTTAATTTTTAAAAACTTTTGACATAAGAAACATTAAAACATAACAGAGTTTAATTATTCTATTTATTTGTAAACATGAAGTTTGGTGCCAGGTGATGGTTAAAAGATCTTTACGAATTCGTCTTACCCAATAAAGGTTCTTTTAGCTATGACGAACTGTATATAATAATTTAATCTTATACTATGAAAGAGAAAAGATTAATTATTAAAAAAAATGTCATATGATACCTGAAATTCGGCAAAAGTCTGGCAAAAAGAAGCTCTATACAGTTTTTTCCTTTCTTCCATTGTCAAATTATGCCAATCTCCTTCTTCTTTTTTCCGTAATTGGATAATTTCTGCAGTTGTTTCTCTCCATCGGATAGCCGGCATTGGATAGTGTACCCTAGCAAGTAATATCAAAAGTCATTAAATATAAAAATTTCCAATAAAAACTGTTAACTTTTCTAAATCTTTTCTGCATTGTGTGTACGTAACTCATCGAGCAAAAAGACAAAAGAGGGAATCTAATCCTTATGAAAAAGAGACCAAAAAAGTGGCCACTGATGGCGGACATATCCGGAAATGCGAATGCGCCAAATTTAAATTTTCTTATTAACAGTAGCTGTATAATATTTTTCAGAATGTGTCTTAGACGAGAAAGTTTTAATTAATTATTAACGATAATAGTCTAAAATGCGACACAATTGTTAAAAAAATGCGACACAATATAAATAAGATTCCATATGACAGTTGGGACAAACCATCGAGCAAAAAGACAATAGAGGGAATGTAAAGGTAGTGGGGGCAAACATATTGTTAGACAGGAAGTGCGATCTTTAGAGGCCACTTTAAACAAGGAAAGAGAGTCTCTCTCCTTGTTTGACATCAAATTTAGTTGGGTTATGTTATTGTTTGTCCCAAATGTCACATGAAATCTTATTTATATTAAAGTTTTTTAACAATTGTGTCGCATTTTTAGACTCTTATCATTAATATTAATTAAAACTTGCTCGTTTAAGACACATTCTGAAAAATATTATATAGCTACTGTTGATAAGTGTCGGAAAATTTAAATTTCGCGCATTTGCATTTCCGGATATGTCCGCCATCAGAGGCCACTTTTTTGGTCTCCTTTTCATAAGGATTAGATTCCCTCTTTTGTCTTATTGCTCGATGGGACAAACAATAACATAACCCAACTAAATTTGATGTCACACAAGGAGAGAGACTCTCTTTCCTTGTCTAATGTGGCCTCTAAAGATCGCACTTCCAGTCTAACAATATTTTTGCCCACATTACCTTTACATTCCCTCTTTTGTCTTTTTGCTCGATGACGTAACTCTAGACCGAAAAAATTAAATACCTAAGATTACTACCGCTGACATAGTGCACCGATGGTAAAAAATATATAGATACTATAATTAAGCGATGGCGCTGCACATGCTAGCACCCATAGCACATCCATCTGTTTGTTGGAAGATTTTGTTTTTATATAGAAAATATATTGACTTTAATGTTGTTCCAACTGTTATATTAGGTTCATTATTCCCAGTTCGAACTGTCTTGTGAATTTAGTAATTATTTTTTGCGTAGTTACTTTTTGACATACTAAAAGTGGCTGGAAATTACTATACAACTAACCATACGTACTCATAGACAATATTAATAGTATCTAAACAAACTAAATAGTAAATAAAATAGAACTTTGCGAATTACCGACAATCAATATTTATTTATCTGCACCATATAATAAATAGTTATGTTAAATTATAACAACTAAAATATATTTTTTAAATATATACTACCCAAAATTTGATGGGTTTAGTATACACTTCCACTATTTAGAGTAATTCTTTTTTTTTCAAAGAAGGAAGTCTGCAATAGTAGTATACTTGAGCTAGTAATACTCAAAAGTAGGAATTGTTGTGTTGTAGGTTTCCGACACTGAATCTCTCAAAATATGCCCGAGCTAGTGAATGGAGTATAGTAAAAATTTTTCTAGAGGGATGTCTGTGAACACTTTGATTTCACTCCACTTTTTTTTAATAATGTCTTTTGCTAAAGCTACTGGAATATTGGTGTATGAAGATACTACGTCGAGAGAAACTAACTTATAATTTGGGGGTAAATGTATATTTTTGAGTTTTAAGTTCAGTTAATCGGCGTCTATTAAATAGTATGGATTTTTATTTATTACGTTGGAAACAATGTTCTTCAACTATTTTGAAGGATTTTCAAAAGGATACTGAATGCATGCGACAATAGGGCGCAGCGGCATACCCTCTTTATGTGTTTTGGGCAGACCGTATATTTTTGGAGTTACAGCATTATGTATCTCTAGGGATTTAGCATTGTTTGGTGAGATATAGACAATTTTTCTCATCTATCGACTAATTCGTTATTTCTTTTTTGGAAAATATTCGTAGAGTCATTTTTCATTTCACAGTATGTTGTGTTTTCATTTAATAGATAATCCATTTTACATTTTACTGTCATAGTCATCGAACTCCATAATAACAGTCTTGTTAGTTTTGTCATGTTTCATAACAACTAAATTGGGGTTCTCATTTAAAAAAAGCTTTTGTCTTTTTAATTTTCTTTTGTAGTGTTTTGTTTTCAAAAGGGTACTTGTTTTCATCGTTAAAATGTGTCAAAAAATGTTACAACATTTAGTTCTAATATCATCCTGTACATTGTTACTTAATTTAGAAATGGAATTTTCAATTGAACAAATAATTTCTGATGTTTGAATATCATTTTTATTATGGATGAGAACTGCAAAATTATCTCACAAACTTAAAACATCTTGTACAGTTCCCGTCATATAAAAATGGTACATTCTTTTTTCTCAATGTAAACCTGTGTTCAGACTTGGTTCGCGAATCAATTCGTTGTTGCCATCACGATCACAGATAACAGAATTAACCTAAACCTAAATAAAAAAGAACGTTCAAAAATGTTTAAAGCTTTTATATAGGTATTATTATTATCACTAACAACAAAAAACCGTAACATATAAATTTATTAACCAGAGAGAGGGTTGTGTTAATGCCCAAAATGTTTAAAGGGCCTTTAAACGCAAGGTATTGGCACATAGAACATTGGATTGCATCTATTATAGTATAATTTTATAATGTATCTATCGCACAGCCCTCCTTTCAGCTGATTTAATACAATATTTCGTTGAACTTGCAACGTTGCCATAGAAACTAGAATGAGATATTTGACAAGATCAGCTTCTTACGGTGCCTATCCGTTCCGGATGTTGCCGATTAACATGGCTATCCTAACTTTGCTTGCTGCTATTCTGAATAGTCCGGTTGTCGATGTATTAAACCACTTTCTCAGGTTCGAAGCCAAGATATTCTTCATTTCCCTGGTCCTCTCTTTCCAAATACCTTGAACTGGAGAATGAGTTGCAACAAGCCGTATCTCTGTTCATTCCTCATAACATGGCCAAGATATTCTAGTTTGCGCTCTTTGATGGTGTTAATAATCTCGCATTCCTTACCTATTCTACGTAAGACCTCAAGATTAGTCGATCCACCCATGAAATTCTCAAAATACGTCTATAATACCACATCTCGAATGCCTCGAGTTTTCTTAAAGAAGCTTCGGAAAGTGTCCAGGCCTCTACTCCGTATAATAACGTAGAAAATACATAGCATCTAATGAGAGAGATTTTGGTAACAAGATCAACTTACACAACTTGAAAAACACGATTTTAGGATATAAGATTTATACCAGTTTTTTATGATGCTGATGGTACGTCACTGAGAATTTCTACATTTATTAAATCTTTTAAGCAAGTATCCTGCAACTTTTTGTTATGAATTTTATTGTCTAATTTTCATATTAATTTTTTTGATATTTCTATAGCGAATTTTACCAAAAATACGTTCATTGTATTGTATGGATGTTTCTTTAAATGTATTAAAAGTGGCAACTGGTAATAATTCGATTAATTTTGTTTCTAGTTTTTCTAGTTCTGAGTCTAAAGTTTTTAATGAGATAGTGGTATATGCTATGAGTAAATTCAAGGTTTATTTCGTGAATACAATAAAAACATTACCAAATTTATGTGCAAGGTTTACAGAATTAAGAATATTGTGTTCTATATTTAACTTTCAAAAGTTTAGTACTAAATTGTACAAGTTGTACAATTTTTGCACCTGTACACATATGTGTACACATGGACCGACGAAGATATGGACAATGCAAGAGATATGTTTTTTTTAGGATATGACTTACATATTTTTTAAAATATGTAGATATTTGGAGAATAAAAGAATCAGCTTTTTTTCCAAAACGAAAAATCATATTTTTACATTTAAACAAACTGGGAGAAAGTGCTATAAATATAATATTTCTATCTAAACAGTCTTTATAAATTTTAAACAAGCCCTTTAGCTCTATAAACCGAAACAAGTTACACAACAATTAAAACAAGTTCTCAGTTATTAACTTATAGTGATGATAACGGTTTACAATAGATCTGCAAATGCACTAAGAACGATATGCTCTATATCTAAATCTACAGCAGAAAAAGGTAACGTTAAAATGTACTCACTACAATTTGAACAGCTAGAGACTGTCATTTACCTGAGAACTGTCATAAATGCTAACAAAAAAGCTATCTGATATAAAATGCAACTTTAATAAGTGATTTTTGAGTTGCTTAATAGCACAATATCGGTAAAAATGCTACTAAATCGGTAAAAAATCTACTTTTACTTTTTTTACACAAAAAATTACGAACCTGTCGGCATAACTTTCTTGTCCGTTGTAGCCAAAACCCACAACTTCTCGATCTCCAATTAATTGTTTCGTTCTGCAATCTACTCTTGCAATTTGATACGGCGGGTTTAAATAAAAAGTTCTAACTCTACCATTTAAACAACGAAAAATTGCTGACATCTCGTAATATGTAGCTATAAAGAATATGACAAAAAGTTATAACTATACTTTGAAGACAGCTGTCAAAATCTCGGAAAATTGATTATGTAAAAAAAATCTAAACTGTTTAATTTCTGCTTCCCTAATTATTTTAGGAAAACTGTTTGTAAAGAACTAAAATCTTTATTGAAAAGAAATGGTTCTATCAATTAAATATACTCCAAAATTTTGCAGAAATATATACCTAATATATTGATCAAAGTCTTGTTGTAAAAGTTACGCCACCTGTACTCAATTGAAAAGAAATTAGAAATAATGAAGGTGTTTTAATTAGCCAATAGTGCGCTCACAATCAGTTTTTTTATGTAGGATAGAAGATTTCCCAATACACCAATTCCGAGTCATTTAACAACTTAAAGAATTTTAAAAAAGTTTGAAAATACTGAGACTGTAATTCCTAATAATATCTGTACAAACAATATTACTCCGGCATGAAGAAGTTTATAAAATCATAACGAAATCAATGTATTAACAACAGTAGTTGAAAATCTAGAAAACCTAGAAAAATCTAAAAAATAAATCTAGTAAAACTTGGAATATATATACAGATAAACTATAATCTCATACAGAACACTTTAAAGTTGTTGTTTTTGTTGTTGTTTAAACTTGTTTTCCTAGTTGTTCGAGAACTTATTCGTTTGTTTTGCGATCCATTCATGATATTTTCAAAATACGTCGGTAACACCACATTTCGAATGCTTCTAGGTTTTTAATGTTGGATTTTTTAAGTGTCCAAGCTTCAATTCCATACAAAAGGGTAGAGAAAATATAACATCAAAGCATTCTTATACGGAGCGATATATTGATTTCGCGATTACAAAAAAGTTTTCTCATTCTATTAAAAGTTGAGCGTGCAATTTCAATGCGGCATCTTATTTCTTTTGTCTGATCAGTATCTTCTGGGATCCATGCTCCAAGGTATTTGTACCAAGATATTTGTTCAATTTCTGTATTATCTAGTACTAGCTTAACTTTGATGTTTTGTGCTTTTGTAAATACCATGAACTTGGTTTTCTTCAAATTTATTTTTAGTCCATAATCGTTACAATATATATTTAGTTGTTCAGCAAGGTGTTGCAGTTCTTCTAGTATTCCTGCCAGAAGGACGGTGTCGTCAGCATATCTTATGTTATTAAGTGACTCATCGTTTATTATAAGGCCCTCACTGATTTCGGCAAGCGCTAATTCTGAGATGGCTTCACTGTATAAATTGAAACAAGGGTGATAAAATACACCCTTGACGGACCCCACCGTGAATCTGGATATCATCGGTCAGTTTATTTTCAACTTTTACTTTTGCTGTTTGGTTCCAATAGAGGTTACAGATGATTATATTGTCTCTACTGTCTATGTTTTTATTCAATAAAATTTCTTTAAGCCAATTATGCTGCACTCTGTCAAATGCCTTCTCAAAATCAATAAAACGGGCATAAACTTCCTGATTAATATCTAAGCATCTCTGCGAAAGAACACTTACTGCAAACAGTGCATCTCGTGTTCCCAGTCCTTTCCTAAATCCCATTTGTGTATTACTTATGCCTTCATTTAATTTCTTATATATTCTATTGTGAATTACTTTTAAAAACAATTTCAAGACATGACTTATTAAGGCTATGGTGCGATGTTCATTGCACTCCTTTGCATGGGAAGCAGTATGAATGTTGATTGGAGCCACTCTTTAGGTATTATACCTGTTCTATATATGGTATTAAATAGATCCAGAAGCAGATCAATAGATTTAGTATTCACAATTTTAAGTAATTCGATAGGAACTTTATCAGGCCCGGGAGATTTACCACCTTTAGCTTGTTTCATTGCATATTCAATTTCTTCTCGTATAATGTCATGCCCAGTATCATCCTTAAATTCTTTTGGTGCTTCTGTTCTCTCTTTGTCTTCAAAAAGTTGTGCTATATATTGTGTCCATCTCTGCATTTTTTCCAAGTGCACCACTTTCATCTCTTAGTTGCCTAGTTTGAAGTGTTTTTCTCATTCCTGTTAATTCTCTAATTCTTTTATGCATGTTAAATAAGTCATACTTTTCTGAATTTCTTCTAGTTCTTGGCACTGTTCATGTAACATCCTTAGCTTCTTTTATTCTCTTTTTAATTAATCGATCAGTTTCATTATATTTAATTGGATTTTTTGTTTTGAAAGATTTCCTTTTAATTATTAATAGTAGTATTTCTTCAGTCATTCAGTCTTTATGTTTTCTATTCTCTGGTTTTAAGTTTTCATTTGCTGTTTTAATTATTGCTACTTTTATATTTTCCCATTTCTGATCAATGTTATAGCTACTTTTATTCAGTTCTTGGGCATTACGTAGATTTTCAGTAAGAGTTTTTATAGTTTGTTCCTTTGTTTGTGGTTCCGTTAATCTCTTAATATCAATTCTACTTTGTGTGGGTTATTTAACCAGTTTTAATTTGGTTCGTAATGTGACGACTATGGGGTTATGGTCTGAACCGATGTCTGCTTCAGGGTAAGTTTTGGCAGACAGTATACTGTATACTGTATTTTTGGACAAGCAGAATATATTTTTTAGCATGAATAAGTTTTTATTTCTTATTGTATGAATATATTTCATGTGAGCATGTTTTTTGAATTTGCCGCCAAATGAAATTAGTTTCGGCCCGTCCGCATTTGGCGCGAGAAACTCTCTCGCAAAACTTATATCGTATTTACCTTACTAGAGGGCTATATACTCTGAGAATGGTCACAAAGTATTAGTCATCAAAGTTATTTCTAATATTATATTATTTATCTATGGTTATTAGTGATCTGTGGCACTCTGTGATCAAATTACCGTTTACATTCACGGGGAATCCACGGCGCATGCATGAATACGCACAAGATGCGATGACAACGTGGATACAGATGCAGTGCAATATCACAATTTTTTAGAAATAAATAAAATTAACAAAATTAATCAAAATGAAATAAATATTTGTGTAATGTCTTTTCTTCAAATTGATTTTAGTTGGTGCACGCGGAATACAGCTTTAAGGATTCCCCGCGCCGACGCGAATTTTCCGTTGCGGAACATTCGCAGGCGGAGCGGTAGCGGACAAGGCTTCCTCACACTGGCCCGAAACTCGACGCGACTATTCGCGATACAAATATGAACAAATTATATTTGTAGTCATTTATTCGTAGCTTACAAATACATAATAACTTTGTCTGATGAAGAAGAAGTTCTTCTACTATTGGCACTTGCCGAAACTGAAAAAAAACAGGTAGCTCCAGAAGCAATAACTTGGTACGGGATACATTCAGTATTATTAGTATCGACACATATAGGGGAAAGTATTGGTGTTAACTGTGAATTTCTCCGAGAAGAACATCTAGTATTAGAATTGGAAGTGCAAAAGCCAGCTGCTTCTTGTTCTTGTTAAAACTCCAATTTTTGGGACTTCAATGAAACTTTTTTCTTATATTTTTATATTCTTTGTCGCTTAATTCATAAAGTATAGGATATTGTTTGATAATTTCAATTAGTTTTTCTGTGACAGCCATTTTAATTCACGCGAAACTTTAACTGCAGCGGAAAAAACCGTGCATGCAGCGTTTCATGAAAACAACGCTGATCTGCCGCGACCGTTGCGGATTCCGCCCCAACTTGTCTGAACACCTGCATACGCCGTCGTGCGGCTGCAAAAGTTTCGCGTCGGTTTGGGGAATCCGATATAGTCATAAAATAAAAATATTGACAATTCAAATATTGCTAATATGTGTTAATATAATACTTTATAAGTCTTATGTATCTTTAATATAGATAGTCATTATTTCAGTATCTCTATTTCTATAGCAGCAGATAAATTACAAATCATTCAATTAGACGACATTCTTGGAGACATGACACTTGACCAAAAAAATATAAATACTTTAATAGGTGTCGACATCGCTAAATACATCTTGCTCGTTGTATATCTCGATCAGATAATCGCCTCTTGCAGGATTGTAGATGAAACAATGGCTCTTCCCGTGTAAAATTTGAAGTGGATTTGACGCAAATGAATTGGCTTCGTAAGGGCAAGAGGAATGTTATTGTGTCTCTAACGATGAATCATGTTTAAACTAAATTGGGGTAATGAGCTTTGAACTTGAATGATTTCGCTTCAAACTTTGGTCTCTGTTAGTGTAAATTGAAGTCATTATAACATTCGAAGTTATGCAATTATGTTGCCTAACCACTTCGTTTGCAACCGCTGTACTGAGGCCTTATTGAATTCGTTACTTTTCATACAAACCGTCAACAACCTAAAAGTTAAATAATACTTTTAAACTTTCGATTTGTTTTTGAAATGTTGGTATAATTTAAGTTTTAACGAAACATTGGACTGCAATGGTTTATACTTTAACAGTTAATTGGCAGCAAACAGTATTAAGTTTGTTATTTTCTAGTTTTAGCATAGTATTAATAATTTATTTTTAGGGAATCACTTTACAGTTAAACAGTGTGATTAAAATAATGTAAAATTCTGTTTAAAATTTATTTAACTTCCTATGAGCAAAAAACATTAAAAATTTTATTTGCCAATAATCCTAAAAACTTCAATTACCTAACTATGGAAAATATAGGATTGAGGAAGTCCAAGTTTCAGAGCAGCCGTCTCAAAAGTCCAAATAACTATGATGATTGCCGACTTTCGCCGCGGAGATGGTACTTGAAGAAGAATAAGAAGAAAAAGGTAAGACTGGGGCTAGTTAACTAAAGGAGTTAGTTGACTAATTGCCTCTAGTTCCTCTAATGTGTAGCATATGTCGCCTGTAGATACAATATCTGAACTGCAAACCCTTGGGCCTCCATTTTACAATATCGCTGTTATGGTCGCTTGTGTTTTATGTCAGTGAGAACAAGGAATCTAGAATCATCCTTAGTAAGTTATTACTGTGGTTTTCAACATTTTGGTATTATTATCTATAAGATTGTTTGTTTTGAATTTTTTCTTTTATTTAAAGAATCAAAGTTGCATCCACCCAAAGGTTTTTAGCGACT